GGAAGTTAACTTCCAAACTTGACAAGTTCATGTTAAAAGGCATAGAATTGTTTTCTCAGGGCAAGCAAGAGGGATCGATCCGTGAGCAGGTTAAGGCACTTACTGCCGTGCCTGAAGACGTGAGTTCAAACCTAGGGACCCACGTGGTGAAAGGAGAGACCCTGTATTTGCCAACTGACCTCTCCCCTTCACACACGTGTGCACGTACCTGGTAGTCCTCCCTCATCACACAGAACAATAAGTGTAACTTAAAAGTAGGTACTTGCTCAGAACTAGTTGACTTATACATTGAATTTTTCTGCCTGTTAATCCTTTGAAATTTCTTTCTTGACATTTCTCTTCATGACAAGATGCAGTTGTTTGGGTATTGCCAGAACTTCACATCTCTTTTTCATAAATGGTACACTGGTGGGTGGTCGTATGGCTCGGTGGGTATGTAGGCCCACTGCCAAGCCTTGCTGACCTGGATTCTATCCCTAGATCCCACATGATGCATTCCAGTTGGCTTTCAATTGCTGTGATAAACACTATGACCAAAAGCAACTTGGGAGGAGAGTAATTTATTTGGGACAGGGCAATCGCAGTCCATCATTGAGGAAATTCAGGGCAAGAACTCAGACAGGCACAGAGGCAGAAATTATGGAGGGATGCTGCTTACTGGCTTGCTCTCCAGTTCCTATTCAGCTGCTTTTCTTCTACCTCCCAGGACCACCTACCCAGGGCCGGCACCACCCACAGTAGGCTGAGTTCTTCCCCATGGATTATTACTCAAGAAAAAGCTCCACATGCTTGCCTGAAGACCTGTCTAATAGAGGCCTTTTCCCAGTTGGGTTCCTTCTGCCTGGATGGCCTAACTTGTGTCAAGTTAAAAACAAAAACAAAACCCAAAACCACCCACCTAACCAGTACATGGTCTAAGGAGGAACTGACATTTGACAAGTTATCTCTACTTACACACACACACACACACACACACACACACACACACACACACACACACACACACACACACACACACACACGATAAGCTGAAAACAGAATAGGCCAACATGCTGGTTCTTAGAATCTCAGCACATTCAGAATGAAACCTGCACCCTGTGGCTGCAGTAGAATGTGAGAAAAAGCCAGGCTAATCCACAAACTGATTGACCCCCTTGTTACCCTCATTCTAGAAAAATATGAAATTAGCCAGTTTCATAATGTCTTAAATAAGCATTGGTACTAGGTACAGAGAGCTGGAGTATTAAAAAGAAGAAAACTCATTTCTTAAGAATGATTCTGGGTTCCTCTTAGGACACCCGCCTTCCTTCCTGCCCTGTTATCTCCATGCTTTCTCAGCTCAGACCTTTCTTCTGTTTCAGAGGAGGAATGTGGAGGTGACGCCGATTCGACTCTGCATGTATAGACACGGCCAGTCAGATGCTGCCTTTCACAAGCCACAAGGTCCCCAGACCAAACTCAAAGCTTGTGACCACTGGAAGTTGTCCTTAGGGGGGACACTGATCTGTGACGGAAACAACAGATCTCAGGTTGACAAAGCAGCCTGTGTACTGCAGTTTAGAGGTGTCTGGGCCTGTCTTTTGGCCTGTAGTCTTCTTGTGTTTCTTCTCAGCCAGGATAATTTATTTTGCTAAACAATTTGCTAACGCATTACTATATTCATAAAAAGGGTATCTTTTCAATATATTGTTTATATTAAAATAGAAAACCCTAGGTTCACAGTGGGTGTGGCAGGGTGCTACAGTGCAGCACAGCTGTTAGCAAGATTTTCTGAACCGCTGTTTTGAGTTTGGAGCTTTGCCTCACCAGTCTACTCCATAGGTAGCTGCTGTTCTGTTTGAACTTGGAAATACACAAACGCAACACACGATTTGAATAAAGGTTATCCTGCAGCTGTGGTCGTGTCGTTGATCTTCCGTCTCTCCTCTGAGGCGTGGGTAAGCTTGGTGCTATGGAAACTTAGCTCTGACCTTGTTGTGGTGGCACACACCTTTAACCCCAGCACTCAAGAGACAGGGGCAGCCCGCTCTCTTGCAAAATTGAGGACATCCTGGTCTACATATTAAGTTCCAGACCAGCCAGGGCTGCATAATGAGACCTTGTCAAAAGAAGAAAAAAATCAGCCTTTACCTCTGAGTTACCCAGCTGCATGGGCACACACGCAGACCAGAAGACGCCTTTGCGAGAGCTCTACTTACCCCGTGTGGGTCTTGTGGATGGAACCCTGGTCATCAAGAGGGATGGTGGTGGCAGCCCCTTTCCCAGCTGAAACCTCTCACAGGCCTCTGAGTTGGTCCTTTAAAGGCAATCTCCCATTTTCATTATGAACTCTGGGGTGTATATTAATATTGTCTAGGCGTCATAGAGGGAAAAAAAGACTGAAGCTTTTAGAAAAGTTGATTAATTTGCCTGTGGTCAGTTGAAAACTTTAAAGGACCTGATTAAAATCATATCCATCTGATTACAAAGCTCATACTTTGAAGAATGGTTTCCATGGGCTGTGCTCTGAAAAGTGTCCAGAGCCACGTTGATGAGCTGTGTGCTACTTACTTGGTGTGTGAGCTGGGCAGGCAGTGTACTGTCCTGAAGTCTTGATCTTCAACCATGCCATAGTGATAAAACCACCTTGAAGGGTTAACATTGGGAAGAGGGATCAGGACAGACGCTCAGCCATTAAGAGCACTGGCTGCTCTTCCAGAGGGCACTGGTTTGGTTCCCAATATCCACAAGGTTGCCCATGCGTCTGTAACTCCAGGCCAGGGGATCCAGTGCCCTCTTCTGGCCTCTGTTGGCACTGCATGCACATGGTGCAGGGACATACGGGCAGGCTAACACTCATGCACATAAAAGTAAATCTTTTTAAAACTTTTTAAAGATTAGATTTTTAAAAAAAATCACATAGAACATGAAAGGTGCTTGAATGTGTAAAGCACTTTTCTCCTTTCCTGTGAGAAATGCCCAATGTGCTAGTTATTTTTTAAATTGTAGCTCACTGGATGTTTTTCCATCATTTTTCTCTTTTAAGCATCTGCATAAACCAAACTTTTAAAAAAAGTATTCTTGAATAAAAAAATCCTTTCAGCCACAACACTTAACCACTTCTAAAATAAAAAAGGTATGCCCAGTGTGAACAGGTTGAAAGTGTATGTATAGAAATATTATCAGCCCCTGCTGTCCCAGGGGAACAGTGAGAATTAAGCACCTTCGAGACTGGGCATGGTGGCACATGCCTTCACCCTCAGCACTTCGGAGGCAAAGGAAAGTAGAACCGAGAGTTCAAAGCAAGCCCGGTCTACCCGGAGAGTCCCAGGCTAGCCAGGGATACACAGGCCAGGCATACACAGCAAAGCATCAACATGTGGGTATGGTTGCAGTAAGTGGGAACAGAGAGGAAGTCACACTACAGAATGTGGAAGAGGGCAGAGAGATGGCTCAGCAGTTAGAGTGCATACAGTGCTTGCAGAGGACCAGAGTTCGGTTCTCAGCACCCACGGGAGGCAGCTGACAATCGCCTGTATCTCCAGTTCCATGAAACACGATGTCCTCTTCTGGCCTCAACCAGCACCTGCACTGGTTGCAGATGAGTGTGCGTGCATACACATGCGCGCGCGCACGCGCACGCGTATACACACACACACACACACACACACACACACACACACACACAGAGTTCTTACAAAATAACTGAAGAAAAACATGGCTTTTTCTTGGGATAAATGTAATAGTTTGGCTGACATAGAGAAATGTTATAAATTATCAAGAGGAGAAGAAGATGCGTCATTATGGCCAGAATACAAAAGCCTTCCATTTTGGGTTAAGGAATTTTATCTATTTAAAGACTGAATGGCTACCAGGGAGGCGATGTCCAATTTCTCAGTTTCAGTGACCGTGAACCACAAAGCCCTGAATGATGGCAAATCAGAGCATGGTTACCTACTAACTGGGCAAGAGAGGGATCAAGCCATAGCCAGGCTTGCAGATTAAAACTGACAACCCTTGTTCACACAGGCTGAGCCAAGCCACACACTGAAGAAACTGTAGAAGCAACCGGATGCCTAAAACAGGGTTTGTCCTTAACTACTGGACAGCCTCAATTCCTGTAGCCTCCAGGAAACTGACTCATTTTCTACCATTCTCAGGTGCAGACTTGTATGTATACCTCTGAAGGGCTGGGGGGATGAATCAGTGACTGAGGCATTTGCTGAGCAAGGGTTAGCACTTGAATTTGAAACCCTAGGGGCCAGGTCAAGTCAGGGCCAGCAGGACTCTGTAATCCTGGTGCTCCTTGATGGGATAAGTGGCAGAGACCGGAGGGAGGGTCCCTGACAGTTGGGGCATCAGTTAGCCTGGTATGTGGGACAGAGAACAGCAAGGAGAAACTGACTAGCAAGGTGGAAGGCAGGGCCTGACACCCAAAATTGTCTTCTAACCTCCACATGTGTGCATGACATGTGTACGTGCATGCAATGCACACATAAACACATGCAGCCTCTCATGTACACAGGCATAGTCCACACAAACTGTAATCAGATCCTTGTGTAAACTTCCACTTAGCTGTTAATCCTACACTATTATGTCATATAAATTGAAAACATCCCAAGTTGGCTGAGAATTTTGAAATTTTCCTTGTGTCCTCACAGCCTTTGGGTAACTAGCTGCTGTTGTCAGAGGGGGATCCTTGGCCTGCCTCACACAGCTAACACCCACAGCATCTCTGTTTAGTCAACAGAACACATCAGAGATTAAAGTACTAAAAACCTAAAGCACCAACCTTCCCATGTCCCAGGTACTCTAAAAAAAACCCCACCCACGTCATGTTTCATCGTCAGCTGAAATCGGACAACATGACCAATCCTGCACCAGGACAATGGCTTTATGATCAGATTCATGTAAGTTTCTTAGCTCAGCCAAAAGTCAGAGAAATGCTACCAGATTCCACACAGACTCTCACATGACTCAGACTCCAACTCAACCCTGCTGCTCCGAACAGAAAACCAAAGGCAGGATAATCTGTTTTTATTTTAAGTTTGGGAATCTTAGGGCACTTACAACATTTTCACTGCCACCGTTCCCATCAATAGACTTTTCTCTAAGTATAATATGGAAGCAGATTTTCTTTTAACACAAAGGACCAGCTTTGTAAAATTATGCTTTAGACTAGTAATGATTTTCATGTGCTCTACTCTATGTTCTTTACACGGGAAAAAAAATCTTAGTCTAGGCATCCATTCTATAACACACGTACACTTAAAAATGGTTATTTGGATAGGTACATTAGTCTATCTCTTCCATTCTCTCTCTCACTCTCTCTCATTGTCACTCAATTTCAAAAGAAGACTGTAACCAGCTCTTCTAATTCTGGGTGTGTGATCCTGGAGAGCGCTGCAGAGCCGGGGCCTGGGTGACGACATCAGAGGGTGGCCCAGGGATCAGATTCTTGTCATGTCCTTCCACCAGAGAGTCCCACTGATTGAAGTCTTTATGAAGTCCTATATATATATTTAAAAAATAATAATAAACACTGTCAAGAATATTAAACAGTTGGGTGCCGCTAGGTGGCACCATAGAGTCACAAATGACACAACAATCACTGTGTTAACAGAATGGTATTCTGTCTCAGGTTGCCAAGTTGCATTAGCAAAAGCATAACCTCCTGAGAGGCTTAGAGATAAGCAAGCTGACATCAGCATCCCTGACATGATACATATATACACATACACACATATTAAAGAATGCAAGGCAACATAAGTCACTTTTGAAATGTTTCTTTTTACATTAACATACTGCTCTGCCTACTAAAAACCAAATGGGCACAGCTGCAAGAAGACTAAGACTGAGTGAATAGAAAATGGTTTTGTCCCGAGAAGCAAGCAGCTTGAGTCACAGAGGAAGGTTGTTTCTTACCTAGATGTTTCTGGAGGAAAGCTAAAGACGCTTTGTTGGTGAGGTCGATGGCTACCCCGGAGTCTATCTCTCCTTTCAACGTCAGCTTGTTTCCAATTATTTTGCCAGTCACAAAAGTAAAGTCGGCAAAATTCTGGTGCACTGAGCCCCTAAAAGAGAAAGGTATCTGTAACTCCTGGCGCTTGAAAAAATTTATTTTTTTTCTGTTTTACAAAAGTCCAGAAACGATTCTGGCCCAGCTAGACAATCCTCTGCAAAACAAGGAAATAAAATGTGGAATCTGATGATTTTTGATGTATTTGAGGGTCAAAAGACATTCGTGTAAGGATGATAAAATACAATGCCTCTTCCTGGCAGGAAAAATAAACTGTGCCCTAGTTTACACTCCCTGCTATGACAGACACCACGACCAAAAGCCACTTGGGGTTAGCTGACTTTCAGATTGCATACAGTCCTTCACTGAGGGAAGTCAAGGCAAGAACAAGGCAGGAACCCAGAGGCAGGAACTGAAGCTGAGACCGGAAAGGCGTGCTGTTTACTGGCTTGCTCCCACAGCTTGCTCAACCTGCTTTCTTACAGCACCAGGACCCAGGCAGGTGTGGCATCCTCCTAGGTGGGCTGGGCCCTCCCACATCAATCCTTAATCGAGAAAATGCCCCCAAAGCCAAGCCTACAGGACCACCAGATGGAGGTGATATCTTAATTGAGACTCCCTCTCCCCAGGTGACTCCAGTTTGTATAAAGTTGACAAAAACTAACGGGCGTGATTTGTATCCTATTTTTAGGGGAAATAAATTGCAACCTTCCATTAACCAGACTACTTCTGAGAAGGTGGAATGTAGTATGTGTTAGAGAGTCTACCACCTACCCCGTCCCTTAACATACGTAATATTTAATGCTAGTCAGAGCAGCGTAGAGGAGAGATTTTAAAAAGAACAGCCCCTGCCTGTATTTCATTGTAAGCCGCTTATACAGGCCAACTGACTCGGCTCTCTAATGTATCAGTAGCAGCTTGCCATCGGCCAGGTCAGCCATTCCGAGGGTTTGTGTTCTCATGTTCTGCCTCTGGGACATCAGATACTTCCTGTGTCTGTTGCGCTTTTCTCTGTTTCCTGCACACTTGCGCCCTCCTTTCTGACCTGGCCACCCCATGATGCTCCCTGGCTCTCCACTCTCCTCCCATCTACTGTAGGCATGCCTGCAGAGACTGTTCTCCGAACAGCGCTTCCCTCTTCCATCCCATCGACTCCAGTGGCTTCAACTACAACGCTGAGGAAATTTTGTACTTTCCCAATTTGGAGAATTTGCATCTCTACCTACATTTGTCTTGTTCGCAAGCTCCAATGCCAAGGTTAAAACACAGTATTGGACCAGCACCACTGAGGGAAACTCTCCCTCCTCATGAGGCTGTCCTTAGAAGCCAACCTTCGTTCTTCTATTACGCTATGTTCAACCAAGAGTCATCAGACCCCCTCCACCTCCTCCCTGCATTCTAGGCAAAATGAGAGTTGGAGTCATAAAGAGAGCAAGTACAGATGGCGTCATGAGAGAGCAGAGAGCAGAGTGTGGAGAAGGCTGAGACACAGTTGGAGCAGAGAAAGAAATGCATTATCCACAACACGGGGACATCTCCCGGGAGGGGAGGTTGTGTCAGCCGAAGATGGAGGACTGAGAGCCTTCGGTAACAATCAAGAAGATGCAGAGAGAAGGGTAGAGACCCAAAGAGGTGGGGGGGGGGTGTCTGAGGCAGGGGCAGGCTTTTCTTCAGTGCATTGGTGAGGCCTTGGGCAGCTAGGCTACAAGTGTCAGAGTGAGCAGAAGACCACGAGTTTTTTTTTTATGGGCTGGAGAGATGGCTCAGTGGTTAAGAGCACTGGCTGTTCTTCAGAGGTCCTGAGTTCAATTCCCAGCAACCACATGGTGGCTCACAGCCATCTGTAACGAGATCTGGCACACGGGCAGAACACTGTATATATATAGTATACAAATAAATAAATCTTTAAAAAAACTGTTTAAAAAAAGATTTATTTTTATTTGTGTATAGGTATTATGTGGGTCTCTGTGTGGGTACTCACATGTCTACGGGTGACCACCATGGCCAAGAGAGGGTATTGGACCCCCTGGAACTGGAGTTATAATTAATAGGTGTCATGAGCCACTTGACTTGGGTGCTGGGAACCAAACTCTGGTGCCCTGCGGGAGCAGCAAGTGCTCTCACCTACTGAGCCCTCTCCAGTCCGGGGCTCTCACAGAGAAGGGAAGAGAGAAGGGAAGAGGTGAGTCCAGGAAGGAGCAGGCAGAAATCGCAGCAGGCACAGCTGGAGAAGACCCACCCACAGCAAGACGGCATGCCTCGGTTGGGTCACAGCTTCTGTGAGAAGGGATACAGGGAGTTCAACACCAGTGTCCCCCATCTCTGCTTCCTGACTACTGATGGAGGCTTCGCCCGAGGGTTGAGTGCTCTGTAAGATTTCTGTTTAGGAATTAGAGATGGGAACATCCGAATGTCCTTCACCATCTGTCTAACTCTCAATTCTACAGGATCAATGTGTAGAACTGAGATCTATATATATATCACCACTTCTCCCAACCACCATTTCCAGTAGGGAATGATTCCTCCCATTCTTTCACCGGGTTGGATATAATGCCCAACAGTTTCCCTTATGTGGGAGGGCAAGTAAAACAGATAGGACCATCCTGTTTGTTTGTTTTTTCTATATTTTCCTGTCCTGTACACCTATGAAAAGTTTAATTTATAAATTAGATGTAATAAGAGTTTAACAACAACTGATAATGAAATAAAACCTTTCTTTGAGACAATGTCTATATGGCCCAGTGGAGACTCGAACTCACAATCCTCTTACATCAATCCCCCAAGCGCTGGAATGACACCTGGAAAAATTTAAGAAACGTAATGTATAGTAATAAAAATAATATATGTGGGTCGGGGAGTGGTGGTGTGTTTGATCCCAGAACTCAGGAGGCAGAGACAGGCAGGTGTCTGTGAGTTCAGGCCAACCAGGGCTCCTTAGTAAGATCTTGTCTAGAAACAAAAACAAATCTCAGCTTTATATAATGTGGAATCACCTGAGAGACAGACCCCATGTACGCCTCTGGGGAATTCTCTTGATTGGGTTAAATGAATGGGAATCCCCACCCACCGTGGCTGGTACCGTTCCTGGGGTGAGGAACCTGGACTCTGTAAGGAGACAGTGAGCTGTGCCTAGGATTCATTGCTCCCTGCCTCATGACTGCAGATGCTACGTGACATTAACGGACTGTCAACTTGAACTGCGATCTGACTCTTTTCAGAGTATGTTTTCTCTTTTATTTATTTGTTAGCCGTGAGTGCTCTTTTTGAG